CCCCCCCCCCACCCCTTCACCCCACGCGCCACTCCCCCACCCCCTCGTCCCAAGTGCTGGGATTAAAGGTGTGCACCACCACCACCCGGCTTGGTATTTCTATGTTTATACCCATTTGGATTTATCTACTAAACAGTCAATGGAAGTCCTGTGCTGTTCCAGGGTGTCACATTTCCAGCTTCAGGAGCACAGCTGTGTTGAAAATGTTCCTCTCTTTTCCAATAAAAATGTCTTTTCTAGGCTAAGCATGGAGGCACATGTCTTTAATCTCAGCAGACTGAGAAACATTAAGAATTAGTCTTGTTTTGATTTTGGAAACAGGGTTACTATATAGTCCGAGTGAGTTAGCCTTGCACTCACAGAGATTGCATGCTTCTGCCCCTTAAGGGCTTAGATTAAAGGGTTCACCAGGTTACTATTAGTCTCTCAAACACTCAAACTTTTGTTTAGCACAAGAAATTCAAATCTCGTTCTCTCTTTCACCTTGTAAGATGTTATGCTCATCTTTTATCTTCTCCATCTAGTGAATCTTTATGCAAATGTTTTAATCCCTCCCTCTAGCAAAATGCTTGTACACACACACACACACACACACACACACACACTATTCTTGGAACTTAAGTGACCCACCTCTTCCCCAATTTCCTTAATTTCCTTTGCTCCAATTCTTTTGAAACTAGCCAATCTTGAAAGACTGTGAAGGTGGACCCCAGCTAAAGACAGACACACACAGTTTCTACCTGCCCTACTATAAAAGCCAAGGGGCTGGCAAGATGGCTCAGCACTTGAGAACTAGTTGTTCTTCCAGATGAGCCACGTTCAATTCCCAGCACCCATCTGGCAGCTTTAACAACAGGGGATCTGACGCCCTCTTCTGGGCTGTGCAGGCATTGCATGCATGTGGTGCACAGACATAAAACATGCAGGCAAAATACTCAGGTAAATACTTTTTATAAAAGTGAACTTTTGTCCTGAAGTGCTTGCTAGCCCAATTTGGATATTGCTGTGTACTTTTTGCAAAAATAATTCTGCTGCGCTACTTTCACTTTCTGATCCTTTGTGCGACACAGGAACTGTTTAATAACAGTATTCAGAAAGCAGAAGGATCTCTGTGAGTTCGAGGCCAGCCTGGTCTACAGACTGAGTTCCAGGACAGTCAGGGCTGTAAAGATAAAGCCTGTCTTGAAAAACAAACAAACAAACAAACAAACAAAAAACCTTTTTTGTCTTTTCCTCCAAACTCTAGAAACCTTGACATGAGGGGCCTGGGACAAGGAGACATGACTTGTAAGCAATGTGAATGAATCCAAGCTTAAGGGAGCAGCTCGTCCAGGCAGGGAAGGACTAACAGTAATAGCCCGAGAATGCTCACATCTGGACAAATCAGAAAGCAGAGACGGGAACATTGGTGCTCG